CAGGGCCCCCCCCAGCCGTAAGTGCCCGGGGGACGGGGTTTAAAGCAGACCCCTGGGGTCAGGGGGAGCCGGGGAGGGGGGGATGACACACGACCACCCCGCGGGCTACTCGCCTAAATGCAGCTTAACGGGGAGAAAAGAAACCCCAAACTCGCCCGACAAAGATGGGACCAGGTGCCGGTTTTAAACCGCATATTAATTTTTTTCCCCCCCTTTATATTCTCGTTTTTAATCGCCACAGTTGCCGTGGGAGGGAGAGCCCAACCTCTGCGCATTTGCTGCGCTGCCCTGGGCCCTCCCAGCAGGATCCGGGGGCCCGAGGGGGTGGGCAGCAGGGCAGGGGTCCGCCTGGTCTGGCAAAATTTGTCTCCTTTCCTGCGGGAGATGTTTTTTAAGATTAATTATCTCCTCCATTCTGATGATGGTTGAATAGGTGGGAAAGCAGCGGTTTCCCAAGATAACGATGAGATCGACATCAATATCCATACCCTTACACGCCTCCACATCCAACAGCCGCCTCTTTTCTCACTGGGTTTCCTTTCTTTTGGCTTTCATTTTGTTTTTATTTCAGTTCTGCTCAGGAATGAGTTGTCTTGTATGAAAATTGAAATACTGTCATTTGCAAGTTGTTCTTAAGATTTTCAAACTCCAGTGAATGGTGCGTTAAGAGTTTGTGGCATAAGACGCTGGTCGCAGAGCTGTTTTTTCCCACTGATGTTTCTACTGTTTGTGTCCCCAAAACGCGGTGGTGGCCATGCCTCATCACCCTCTGCAAATGTGAAACACTGATTGCCTTTCTGTGCTGCTGGAGGGGAACAAAGGGCTGCAGAAGAGCAGGAGGTGGAAGGCATCCCTCATTCCACCTTGCTGAGCCGTATTCGGCCTTCATTTATAAAACAAGCTTGATGTGATGGGAAAATATTTTTTCATAATCTATATTTGGGTGAAATGGTCATGTTGTATTTTCAGGAAAGGTGTTATGGCCTGTTTTGCTTTGTAGTGAGGTCCCAAAATTGCATTGCTCCTTCCCACCTGAATTCAGAGCCCAAGTGCAGCCGCAGGAATTGCCGTTTCCCAAACATGGGGAGTACAAGCACAGTCCAAGGCTGAAACCTGCATATACATCTTTTCTACCATTCCTCCGACTTTATGGACTTCAAGTCCTGTGACATGAGCGTAGCTGGCAGCGGCAGAGCCAGCTCTCCCCTTTGTGCCGGCAGGACCGAACGCTGCAGCCGTCTGTTCCTGCTTGCAGACAGGCAGCCCCAGTGCGGGAACTGCCCTGGCTATGTGGGGGTGTCATGCCAAAAGCATGGCCCCACCCCAGGAGAAAATGCTGCTTTAAGAGCAGTACAGCATGCGGCTGCCGCATTGCACACCGCCTGCATACCCTTGCGTTCAATTCATTAGTTTTGTTAATGAAGTCACGTCAGTCCCCCAGAGACGGGACCTGACCTCTGCTGTTTCTGCCCCTTGGCCAGCTGGGAAGCACACGGCCAGCTCACACCGGCTCTCTGCCCTGGTCACCCCGGCTGGGAAGTCCTACGAGTGCCAGGCACAGCAGACCATCTCCCTCATCTCCAGTGACCACCAGAAGTCTGTGCAGCTCTTGCTGTCGGAAGTGCGTGTCCAGCCCTTCGACATCACCGCGGATTTTGTCTTCAGTGAAGGTAAGGTGCAGGGCAAAGGCACGTCCTGCAATCCCCGAGATGCTGACGCCGCTATGGCCTTTGGGGGTGTTGCAGTGTACTGAAGTGTACACCACCTTTATCCGAGCACTTTCCCCTCCCTCCAGCGGGTTGTCAGTGCTCCCTGCAGTCCCTCCAGCCCATTCCCTGCCTCCGTGGTCTCCCCACATTCAGCCCAGCTGCTATTTGATCAAGACACAGGCTGTCGTTGCATGTACGTTGGCAGTATGAGTTCTGTAAGGACTCATCTGGCTGTGTTGCCAGTAAGCCCCAGAACTGCCTGGTCCCTGGGGAGCCCTGCAAGGCTTAGGTGTCTCCTCTGTAGCACAGAAGGTGTTCTGGTACAGCTCCAAGGGCTTTTTAGGGCCACAGCGCCCTGAGGAAAGCTTGGGGCTGCGGCGGGAGGAAATACTTGCAATGCACGTTGCTGGCTTCAGTTTGATTAATGCTCATTGCAAGGGTGAAGGAAGCGTAACAGGGACTTCAGTGAGGCGCCTCATGCGCCAAACACATGGGATGCTGTTCCCCTTAGGTTTCTTTGATGTTAATTGTGGATAAAAGAAAATGTGAGTTAACACGTGCTGTTCGTATCAAAGGGTTGTACTGAAGTCAGCAGCAGTACTGCCGTGGGGCAGAATTCCTGCAGATTTTGCCTGCCTTTATCCTGAGGAACCCGTGGTGCTCCTCCTCCCCGACTTCCCTCTGCCTTTTCTGTCAGGTTGAATGAGGGAGTCTAAACATGCTCACCTGAATTAGGGCTTCAAGACTAGTCTCCTTTTTATAGTGCCATCTTAGCAAATTAGTTAACTCCATTATTTTAACAAGATGCAAATAAAAAGTGCAATAGCCAAATCTTTTAATAACGAGCTAGAAAATGGTGGTGTTATTTTCAAGCCTAGCATTAAAAACGCGTGGCTTAAATATTTCCCACATGCAAAGTAACATAGAACACAATAAAAAACCAGCGCTGACTACAGAGCTGAGCACTTACGCTCATGACTCACGTTCCTCTGACTGATGTAGTAAATACATGCTATTATGTACACTGGCTCTGGCAGAGCTCTGCGTGGCTGCGTTACTCATGGCAAGGCCAGTGTAGTATGGAGTAGGTTTCATCCGTGGGCACAAAAAAATTACAATTTTTTTTTTTTTTTCCTATCAAAGTAGTGCCATGTTTCGCTTAGGCTACAGGGATAAAAAAGGCAGAATTTCATAGTTTCGTATCATGTCTGTTGGCACGTTTTCATCCTCTCCCTCCTCCTGTGGATCCAGGCTTCCTACACTCAGGGTTTGGCTGGGCAGACCTTGGAGGCTGAGAAAAGCATATTTAAAATATGCAAGTCTGGACTCAATTTTAGGTGTTGTGTCTCTGCGATACCAAACTTGTAACGTCCGAGAGCTCACAGTTTAAACAGCCAAACTCAGAGTTCATTGCCAAAGGGGGACTACCTGCCTTTTTCGTGATACGCTCTTTTGTATCAGGTGGTAAATTGTTTTGTTTGGGTTTTTTTCTTCATTGTTGTAGTTTGGTTTTTTTTTAAATCCAGGACACAAGGAGCCCCCACTTGGTTTAGCAATCTTTAAACGTGTGGGGAATTCCTCTTTCTGAGGAAAGCCCTGTTTCTTTCTTCGTCAAGCTTTGTGGCTTACTGTTGTTGCTCTCGTTATTCAATGACACTGCTTTTTATTTAATTCCACTGGAAGTTCAATAGCAAAGAGCACCTGGAGACGATGGTCAGAAATGCCCGAGAGGGCATTTATCAGTGAAGCTTCACACAGGGCTCTGCCGCCTCTCCCCGCGCGCGTCCCCACCAGCCCCGTGGACCAGCGCGTCCTCGGCACATGCATGGCAAAACATGATCCTTTGTGGGGTCTGAGAATCGCTGCCAATCTTAAATTACAGTAATTAGCCTTCTCCTTTTTGGTTCATTAATTTCCCATTAGGTAAAATTCCTATTAATTATGAACAAGCTACAGAACATTTTAAAATATTTTAGAATAGAGAAGGAGACCTGCTAGAGCAGAAGAATCGCCGAGATGCAGAAGGGTCAGGGCCTTTTTACTGCAAAGAAACGGGGGGAAAGGTTTTGTCATTAGTCCTGACACTGTCCTGTCTGGGATGGATTAAAAAGCTTGTAGGGAGTGACTGGATTGCTTTGATTTTTTTGAATGCTTAAACTCATGTGCTAGAGTATCCATTTTCTTTTTTTTTAAAGACACTGCTTCCAACCCTCACAAATACATACATATATTTATATATTAAAAAATTTATATAGATATATATATTTACCTTTTTCAATACAGAAGCAGCAGAACATTTTTTTCATTCAGAGCTTGGGAAATTTTTTTAATAGGGAAATTGTGTGTACATTTTTCGGTGTAAAAGAGAGCTGGATCAAGAGGGTGCGAGGAGAACGTTTAAATTGGTGAAAAAAACCCACAGAAATTGTCAGCTCTTTTGTTTTTAATCAAAATAATGCAAAATACAAAGGGATACAAAGGCTGAGAATTAGGGACCAGGATCCTGGGAGGTCTCATCTCCCTCTGAGCCACCCCAAACGAGGGTCACATTTTCTCAAAGGTCCTTGGCACCAAGTAGGTCCTCTTTGCAAGGTATGCAGCCACATTTAAAAAAGCACCCAGTCTTTCTTTTTTAAGCTAATCACTTATAAATGCCCATCTCAAAATCTCAAAAAATCCATCCTATCATGCCAGACACAACTGAGCTGTTTTTCCATCCCTTCGAACAGCCCCTGCACCGGTCCTCAGGCTTGCAGTCGTGACTGCGGGAAACTGCTCATTTTTTTTGCCTTGCTGCTATTTGTTCTGCAGAAGGATGCTGAAACAAGAAAACGGGCCTGTTGGGTGGTTTCGTAGCCTAATACTGAAATTGGACGAGCACTCACCATAGAAACCGTGGCGGTACGTGAGCCTGGGTGCTGCGGGGTGTCGGAGGAAGCGCAGCACAAAAGAACAATGTGGAAAGTACCTAAACGCCTCTTTTGTATCTGCCCGCAGGGACCGGGGCTGCGGGGTGGCACCTCTCTGGCAGAGGGGTGACCCTGCCGGGTGCAGGATGCAGCAAAACTCCCAGCATCACCTGAACTACTTTTCACGTAGTTAAAATTTGCCAGGGACCTTTTTGCTTTCCTGGACTGAGGGTAAAACCCAGCGATTTGGGCACATGCGGAGATTCCTGTGACCTGAAACAAAATACTCAGGAAAATTTGGTGGAAAGGGCTGTTTTCCTGCAGAAGGCATTGATTTCAAATACACAGCAGTTCCCAGTGCGATGGCGTTTCATTTGTCGTGCATCAGCCAGCCCACCTGCCTGCGCTGTGCTTGATGGGGTTGAGTGTCTGGATTTGTGTCTGCTGTGGACTTTATGCAAACCCTTCTCCCTTCCCACTCCCCCTTTGTGTTTTCCTTTGCTGATAGACCAGGAATGATACCTGTTACCTGCTTCTCAATGGTGGTGTGGACCTCAGTGCCTGTGCAATGCTTGGAACTCTTGGGGTGAAAAATGCAGCATAAATGGTGAAGTACACACTGTTACAAATGTGAAAATATTTTTGTTGTAAAATGATGTGTTTTAACACCGTATGAATGTTAAAATACAAAATTTATCCTCGTAGCAGTCAGCATGTGGGGAGCCTTAGATCCTCTGCAGATGTGTTTGTGCTTTGCACTTGCCTGTGCTGCCATGCTGTGTCCCCCACAGCCCCGTTCCCATTCCTCCTATGCCTTTCAAAGAGCACGGACTTTGGCGATCTGCTCCAAAACGAGAAAACGGATGCGTCTTGTGAGGAGAAGGTGTTGGTAAGGCAGGAGGTGGCTGCTCCGCAAGGCTGCCTTTGCTGCCGGGGCAGGGTGCTTTTTGCCCCGGGGACGTGCAGCTGGGGAGAGCAGCACGATTTGTGGGTGTGCTGCTGGAGACTGCAAGCTTTGCTTTGATTTTTTCCCCCCCCTTATGGGCTTTTTTTTCTTTTAATCCTCTTTAAGAAGTGTCAGGATAAAGAACTATCTTCCTTGGCTGCTTGCAAGAATTGACACCTCTTTGAGTTAAGATTCAGACACTTAAATACAGCTGTGGCTTTCTGAGGACACCGGAGTTTTGGCCTTTGTCCTCTGGCACGTTTTGCGCTCTGCAGCCGGTTTGCTTTGGCAAAAGCTGGGAGTTCAAATATCGCAAGTAAGTATGTTACAGTTGGGTTAGTCCTCTGCGTCACAGCACTGGTGCTTTTAGCTTTGCCGCCTTCACTGGCTGCAGACCCCTGCGTTCACCCCATTCTCCTGCAAACACAGCATCATTCTTGTTTAAGCAAAGGCGCGCAGGCAGACGTGCCATGTTTGAGCACAGGTGAGTGCCCTCAGTTGGGTTTACATCAGGCTCGCTTCAATTTTCTGTAGGGTTCAAGCTAAACCACTTTCAAAGCAAAAATTAGCGCCTGTAGGAGGAGATTGCAGCGGCTGGACTGAACCCCCCTGGCCCATCGGGCTGTCTGCAGCCCTGTGGTGAGCTCCTCTAGCACGGATCCTTCCCACAGGAGGGGTGCTGCGTTTTACCGGCACGTGAGCAGTGGGGACGGGGGGGTCGGAGCATCCTGGCCCCATGGCACTGCCCGGGCCTGGCTTTTCCCGCAGTCAGGTCTGGGGATGCCAGCTTGCCGCTGTGTCTCTGCCTTGGTGCTGCCAGTCTGGTCAGCCTAAACCGGGAAGAATTTTATAAAGCTCTAGAAACCCAATTTTGGGAGCTAAATAATAATCACGATTTTTTTTTCCTTTTCTCCTTAATACAAACAAACAAAACCCCTGCATTGCAGCAATTGCTGAATCGCCTGTAACACAGTCCTGGTGATTAATCACTCCTCTAGTGAGACAGTGAGCAACTGGAACCGAAAAGGACATTTTTTTTGTTAGACTACATTTCACTTTTGCTTTTTTGTTTCACTTCATTTACAGCTCGAAATGTTTCCTAATGGCATCTCTGCGAGCTTGGTGCTGGGAGGACGCCTCCGTGCCGGAGCTCCCGGAGGTGCTGTCCCTGCTGTCATGTCCTGCCTGGGCCTGGGGGGTCTCTGGGATTTTCCTGCTCTTTGCCACATGCCGTTAGATTTGCAGAGCGTTTTCCATTCCTGGTTATCGCAGATCTCTGCGTCTTGCAATCAGCTGCCTGGGGAACCCATCTGGACAGTCTAGTGAGGGGAGGAATTAGTGGTGCCCTTTGTGCTCATCTAACATGCAGCCTTTTTTTTTTTTTACTTTTTTTTTTTACTTTTTTACTTTTTTTTTTTACTTTTTTTTTTTTAAGTAATTGCTGTTTTCATTGTTTTCAGCACAATTCTAGTACTGTGAAGAAGATGATCCAGGGGCCAGATCACTGTCCCTCCTGTACCCCATAACCCTTCCCCCCACCCCGAGTTGGCATTTTTCTTCTTTTTGGTCTGGCAGCCCCATCTCGGCAGCATCGGCTCTGCCTGTCCATCAGCACGGATGGGCAAGAGTCCTGTGGGGAAAAAAGTAAATTGTGATCCTGTCATTCAGGCCTGCAGTAGGCTCTGGAAGTGTAAGGGATCTGAACCAGGATTACCAGCGTAACGTGTTTCCTAACCTTGGGGGCTGTGCCTTTGCAAGCTAAATAGGAAAGTGTTTTCCCATTGGGTGCTTATTATTATTTTCTAGTGGTTTATTAGACTATGATGGGGACTCGTAGGCCAGAAGGGAAGACACTGGGGAGGCTTGTGTTGCTTCTGCTCATCCTTTGCCATATTTGACAAAAACCGTGGGGTGCCAGGATGCTGTTTGACCACATGTGTGCTCTGCCAGTGCTGGTAAACTCCCACTGGGGAGCTCAGAGAGAGGGGGGAGAGATGCTGTTACATCTCTCTCAACGTGCAGATAGAGGGGAAAAATCTTTTTAACCGTGAGCAGGGTAAGTCTGATGCAGGGTTAAAGACCTACTGATGTTGAAGTCTTGTGATACAATATTTATAGACTCTATAACTAAATAAACAAAGTAGATGTTCAGCCATGGTCAGGAAACTTGTACTTTTGCTGTCCCATTCCCAACAGGGCCATTGCTGTACTGGTGTGGCAGAGGCCTGAAGAGGAGCTTACGGGCCTGAAAGCATTTTCTCCCACCGCGCTGGCTGGTTTGATAGATGTTACCTCTCCCTCCAAACCCTGCGTTGTGACTGTGATTTCACTTTCCTCCAAAGCAATTGATTTTTTCCCTGGGACTCCGATGACGATTGCTGTCTTTCCTTCCTGCTGCACCTACTTTTGCTCTGCGCAGGGACCCCCAGCACAGAGCCGTGACTCCAGGGAGGTCGGTTCCCTACTGCAGCAGGCGTTCGGATTTGCAATGTCTCATTCACTTCTCTTTTTCTCTCTTTTTCCTTTTCTTCCTTTCCCTGCAGAACACAAGTGCCCGGTGGACCAGAGGGAGCAGTTAGAAGAAACCCTGCCTCTGATTTTGGGCCTGATACTGGGGTTGGTTATCGTGATAACCCTCTGCGTTTACCATATCCACCACAAGCTGACAGCCAACCAAGTGCAAATTCCTCGGGACAGATCTCAGTACAAACACATGGGATAGGGGACAGGATTGAGCAGCCCAAATGTTTATCAGGTAGAAAAAGCAAAAGCACTTTTTTCTAAGGGTGAGGAAAGGTTACGGGGGGGCGAGAGATGGTATTCACAACACCTAACCAGGGGTATTTCGTGGAGATGCACAAGTTAAGGTTAGGCTTTAATATAGCCAGTGCAGAGGCATAGCTGTCACTGCAAGAAGACTCGGAGCATCTGATTTTAGGAGTCTGTCTGTGGCAGTAGGTGATATGAATACCTTCTTAAGCAGCTGGGCCGATCATCTGGGAACAGAAATGCTTCACATGTCAAGTTTAACACTGGAGCAAAATTAGCTTTTTTTCTTTTTTTTTTTTTTTCCCCCTTCGTTCCCCCCTGCCTCCCAAGGGACTCTTGCCTCCCCAGCGTGCCGCTCTTGGCAGCGTTCAGCCCTCTCCGTTCATGTCTGTGCAGGGAGCAGGGCAGGTCCTCTAATGAAGGGACTCAAACCACATTCCTGATGTTTGCACTCATGTTAAGGAAAGCATGAAGGCAATACAGGTGTGTTTTGAAAAAAAAAAAAAAAAATAAAGGCCAGAACCTCAAGCTGGTATAAACTGGAGTAAATCCAGTGTAGCAGATCGCAGCCAGCTGAGGAGCTGACCCCACGCTTGAGGCTGAGTGAGGAAAGTTTGTTTTTGCTTCTTGAGCCACATCTGAATTAAACTTAATAAAAAAAGAGTATTGATACACAAATTATAAAGTGCCATGCTACTGCGAGTCAACTGAGAAATGCTTCTGGCTGGACATCCTGCACGTATTGTGATTGTCGTTGAGATGTTACATTGCTACCTGCAACTGGTATTTTCACAGTGAAACAAAAAAAAAAAAAAAAAAAGAAAACAGAAATGTTAAAGTTACTATGCAGATTATTCAGGTGTAATCTAATGTAACAGAAAAAAATATAAGGAAACCCTTGAAATCTATCCTTAAATGTAGACCATTTTTAAAATTAATTAAAACATGTACATATATAATACATGATTTGCCTTCTTATTTTGAAATGATATAGTGCTTTTTTACTAACTCCATGGTATCTAATGGAATCGGTGCAAAAAGGCAGAGTCTGAATGGATGTGAAACGTAGGATTGATTTATTCTAGCAGTGTTTTGGTGCAGATGGTTTGGTGAAGACATGGTGGTGGCTCAGTACTCTGTGATTTGTTGGCTATTTCTAATATTCTTCAAATCTCTCGGCCGTTTCTTTCCTATGTGTTTTGTGGGCAATGGTGGGTTTCACTCTGGTCCCATCCAGTTCCCACTGAAACCTTTGACTTCCCTTGGCTCCGGTGTTACCGCAACAAGAGTTAGTCCAGACCTCGTGTTAGTTTAGGGTATGGAAAATCCTTTGCTCTTCTTGAGCTGATTTGATCCAAACGGGGACGCATACAAACTGTCCCCTGTCAGTTTAAAAACAGGGTAATAGGCCAAGAAAAATAGTAATTTCAATGTTGAGAAGTGGAAGAGGAGAAACTTAACTGCTTTTTAATGCTGCAGCCTCCTGCAAAATTTATGAGTTTTTTTTGTCAAAGGTGAAAACAAAGGTGGATGCAGCAAGAGCCTGCCTTTAGTCTTGGCTTGTGTCTGGTCTCATTTCTATGTTACGCTCGCCTTTTTGTTTTCTCATTTGTATGCAAGAAGCAAAATTACGGCGCTAATGGTGCTTGTGGCTTTGCCCTTTTCTTTTAAAACTCCAGTGAAAGTGTCCTGGGCGGGCTTTAGGCTCTGCCACTGCCTACAATGAGCTGATTATTATTTAAAAAAAAAAAAGAAAAGAAACGTTCTGTTAGAGACAGCCAGAAAAAGCCATAGGTAGCAGGAGGGTGAATAAAAGGATTAAAGGCTCATCCTTAATAGAGAGGGGCCATAGTTATCAGCTTTGTCCTGCCTCGCTCTTGTCTGCCCTCCAGCCAGAAAGGCTCTCCCAGCCAGCTCCCGTCAGCCTGGAGCATCTGCTCCTGTATTTGACATCCAAAAAAAAAGAAAATAAAGTAAAAAAGGAAGCAAACAGCTGAACTACAGATGCCAAAGAGGCCCATCCCTTGTCATTTGTCTTCTTCACAGCAAGGTGGCTGCAGGAGCGAGCCCTTGGGATGGCGTGGTTGTGCGGGTGAGCAGTGGGGGGCAGGACACCGTGGCGGGATGGGGATGGAAATGGCACCGGACAGGAGAAATCCCAGTCAGTAAGAGGCTGGTCCCCACCCAGCTGGTTTCTTCCCAATGAGCTGCAGGTCTTTGCTGTCAGGAGGAGCAATTTCTGCTGGTTCAGTTGAGAATTAGTAGAGATATAAAAGGGTTGGGATGTTCTCGGTGAAAAATGGAGGAAGAGAAGGGCTTTGTGGATGGAAACAAGGAAGAGGGTTCTGGTTTTCCCCATGCTGTCTGTTTCTCTAGGAGAGCCCATTAGGGCTTTTTTCTCCCTCTTTTCACATTCCTCAGCACCTATCCCTCTTTTGGCGTTGGTTTTTTTTCTTTGCAAAACTTGAGTTAGCTGCATATCTACTTGGATATTGAAACTTGAACGGGTGACATAAAAAAGAGCTTCTTCCCTTCCACTTGCCTTTAGTGGAACGTTTACAGAGATAAGGAAAGGCACAGTGCAGCATTTTTATAAATGTTTTTGATTTCTGACACCCACCCCCACCCCCCCCACCCCCCAATTTTTAACCCAATGAAGGGATGACCTTGAAGGAAGGCTGGTTTTTAGAGCAGCTGGAGTTTGTTGTGTCCTGTTCAACTAAAGCTGCTGGTGGGTTTTAGACCCTTGTAGGTCATGTTGTTGGTTCCTCATTTTCAGAAAGCGAGCAAGACCCGCCTGTTGTAACGGGGAGACTCTCTCAAACATCTACAGGTATTTGAGATGGAAAAAAATTGCTAATTTATGGTTGACTTTGCAAACTAATTTTCATTCAACCTGCGGTGACCCCGTAAGGGCAGTCACAGCAGAGCCACCCAAAGAAAGCATTGCCTTCACCACTCATAGGAAGCCGTCCTTGACTGATCCCACTGCTTGAGCATTGGCCGATGCACTGAAGCGGTGGCATCGGCCATCTGACGAGAGGACAACCTCCAAAAGCCGATGCAGCTCTTGAACCCTGTGCCCATGTACCATATACCTGCTGCTTTTCACGTCAGGTGATAGAGGTTTCCCTTAGCTAGCGCTCAGCATCGCCTTCAGGCTGCAAGTGTCTGTAAGCTATCAGGAACAGAGTTGCACGAATACCGTAAGTAATTTCTTGGTTTTCTGAATTAAGATAGAAAATAATTTCTTGTTGGACTGAAACGGTTCTCCTCTCTTTTTGGGGAAGAAAGGAAATAGAGACAATAATTGCAGCTCAATGACAGTTTGCCTTGTGCCCCCGACTGATGTTATCTTGTTTAAAGAAAAAGTTATTTAAGATTTTGAAAGAAAACCCTTTGAATCTTTTTCTTTCCATCCTTTTGCTAACAATTATTTACTGAATTTGACCTGCATTTTCCATTGATTTAAGCTTTCCAAGCCTATTTTTGAAAAATTAGTTATGAGAGGTTAAAAAAAGCCATCCAGCTTCCCTCCTGCCTATCAAACTTCAGCAGCATCTTGAGGATGGCAGCACTTTTACTGTGATTTCATGTTATACTTAGCTTTCACTCATCGATGGCTTGTCATGAGCTAGCTGCAAACTTGAACACTCTGCTTTAATAGGTGTTTATGAACACACTAGTAGACGGTGGATAAATATAAGAAACTTGTCAACCTACTGAGCTCTATAAGGACCTGTAATAATTAAGCACTTACTTACTAAAGCAGCTGTGAATGACTTACAAAGTACTTACTTATGATTAGAACTTTAATTATAAATTATTGATGTATTGCTGAGGAGGGGAGTTACATAGCCAATAAATGCCCCTGCTACTAAAATTATAAGTATTTGTGAATACTTTTAGAACTGGTGACCTCAGAAAAAGCCATCGTTCCTTAGTGACAGGCAGGAATAAATGCATTGGAGTAACCGGCCATACGCGGAGCTCAGCCTCAGCCAGTGGAGCAGATGAAGACGTCTTCTGGGTGAATGGATGCTCCCAACATCTGGTATCTAAAAAACTAAAACTACAGAGTGTATTTTTTTTGCTGAGATGCCCAACAACGGCAAGACTGCCTAGCCCACAAGGTGACAGTGATGGAGGAACCTGCACCTGCAGCGTGGGCACTGCAGGGACCGGGATGAGGGCTCAGGAGCCATCAGGTTGCAGGAGACAAGACCTGGGAAGAACCTACAGAGATTACCCAAGGAACGAATGTGCAGAGAGGGTGATGAACACAGCTCAGTCAACTGTGTAAGGTAACAGGCCACGGTTATTCCCTGCGTTTTGGCTGGCTCTGGCTCTATTTCAAGTGCTGTGAGTGGAACAGCCAACGTTAAGCAATTTTTTTGGTGGTTTTTTTTTTTTTTGAGTGATGGCTAATGCATTTTGAATAATTTACTCATGTCAGCAACTAAAAGTAATATAAAACCTCATTTATAAGACTTGAAGGTGCTTAAGGGAGCAAGTAATAGCATAGACTCATTAGCTGACTGATGCTGCTGCTGGGGAGCCTGGGAGGAATGTTTTTGCTAGGCATGAGAGCTGAATGGTTAGGAGCCAAAAATTAAGGCCAAATAAGGAAAAAAAAAAGGGGGGGGGTGATTGGGGACATGTGGAGGTGTATGGGTGTGCTGATCACTTCTCAAAAAAACCAGGACAATCTGGGTGGTTCCAGTGCCGGCACTGCCAACTTGGGTTGAGCCATGAAGGTGGTGTTTTGTTTTGTTTTCTGTGTGTAGAGGAGAAGTTGTGTATTTTTCTAACATAAGTGTGTATGTATGTGTGTGCATGTGCACGTGTGTTTGGGGGAACCTCTTGGAATGGCTAAATCATGGTATCTTAGGTTGAAATGGGTATTTCTGTAGTATTTCTTCAACTACATCATTTGCTTCAGCTGACAAACCA